TCCGGATCTTCCTTCCCGGTGAATCTGGGGGCGTCGATCTTGACCTTTCGCGGGAAAGGTGTCAGATGGACCCTTGTGGTGAACGGGGACCCTGCCAGGGGTTTGTCCCGGTCATTCTTCTCCCCGACCTTCTTTTCCAGCCTTTCCAGCTTTGCCTCCATCTGCTGGACGCGGTCGTTTGGGATGGTTAACCGGTTCGCCACCGGTAACCTGGGCTGGCTTTCTGCCTCCCCTTCCTGGTGGGAGGCCCTCGTCCTCGCTGGCTCCTGCCGGTTAGACCGGGAGCGCCGGGTGCGGGCAGGCTCGGCCTCCCGCACCTCGCCTAGCCGGGCGAATGCGCTGACATGGGCAACACTCTGCCCCAGCCTCTGCTTGGCTGACTTCCTCTGGCCTTCCTCCCTATCCCCCAGCCTTTCGAAGGCGGAGTTTCGGGAGGTCGCTGGCCGGATGTTTTTTCCTTTCTTCTTCTTGTGGGCCCTCGGGATGTCCCACTCGCCGTCATCGCTCTCAATCGAGACGCAATGACCATCAGGAGTGACCTGTGGATCCGTAGCTTGCGGGGGACGCGACGGCCCTGCAGCGTTAAGTGCACCGGCCAAGTTGACCGGGGCCATGGTGCTGACCATCTGGGGCTGGAAAGGTGATGGTTGCGGCATCGGCGTTTGGAACGACGTCACCGCCATCGGAGCTTGTAGAGGCATGGTCCCCGCGCTTGGAAGGGCGAATGGGAACATACCAGGGAGGAAAGGCATCCCCCCGTTCTGTTGGCACATGGCCATGACCTGGCCAAAGCCCTGGATGGCTTGTAGGTTGGCTGGGTCATTCATGAACTGAGCCATGCTCGGTGGGAACGTTACCCTCGGTCCAGCGGAAGGGACGGGGGTCACGAAGGGACTGATCACGCTGGCCGTCGGGACAGAGCTCAGACCCAGAGGCAACACCGGGGCTGAAATGACCGGCATGGTAGCAGCCACAGGGATGCTGGCTCCCTCGTTGGTGGCCTGCGCCTGAGCGGAAGTAGCGTTGATTTGTTGGCTGGAAGACATTTCGAGTGGTGTTTTGGTGGGTAGGTTTGTGTTTTGGAGAAGAAACCTTAACGGTCCCACGGGTGGCGCCAAAAATGATGGTGTAAATTACTTGACCGGTCAAACTATACTAGACCGGGTCTAGAATAGTTCGCTTGATTTGGCAAAGTAAGAAAGGTAAAAACACGCAAATTGACCGGTAGGACTTTAGGTGGAACACCTGTAGCCCCAATTTATATTATAACGGAGAGTGCACGGGTGCTTTTACAAGGGAGTTTAGAGAGAGTGAATTCGGATCCCTCTTTCTGAGGTTTACATGAGTATTTATACTAGGTTAAGGGGACAGGACCACGTGCGCCCACGTGGGGGCATGCTGCCGATGTGGTGCGAGGTGACTGGTTTCGTCCTCAAGCTGCCTTGTCGCCTTGTGAAGGGGATCATTCCTTTTGTCAAGTAGTGCCTTGGATGGATTCTTCAGCATCTCCAGTTGTCCTCTACTGACACGGGTCGCTACACGCCAAACCCTCGCAGATCCTCTCCTGCCGACACTTTCCAACCCCAGAAACTACACCGGGTAATCTCCGAGGGATGAATTTATCGAAGTCTGGAACAAATAGGATGACAACGTAGTTTGACCGGTATACTTTTTGTGAAGTGTACCGGTCATATTTTGGCCGATGATATATCGTTTTGCTGACGATTAAAGTCTCCCTTCCAAAACTTTCGAGATTGACCGGTCAAAGATTTGGCCTTCTCCTTTGACCGGTCTTGGGTGAAATACACCCATCAGTATGTTTTCACATGATTATTTACAAAATTGTCCCTCGCCATTTATGAGTATTTACAAATGATTAGTCAGTTTTTTAAGTCATTTTATTTTTCACGAAAGAATACATGACTTATAAGCAGTTTTTAAGTTAAAAATTACTTATCAACAATGTGCTACTAAGCGCCTTCGGAGTATGTTTTGATATAGAAATAGTCAAATAGATATCAAAGTCAAAGTGTTTAGAAAGAAGCAAACAACTAAATATAAATAGAGTGATGTTTACATGATTCTAAGGTCTACATTTAAAATCAGAACTCGACCCTGACATATTTTTCATTGGCTTACATGTAGATATAAATGTTCTTTTTGAAAAAAAAGACTCACTTCTTTTATGTTACAAAAACACTAAGGTTCAAAAAATTAGCATAGACTTTAACTCTACAGAAGAATTTGCCATATAATTATTTTAAAATTAAACTCCTCTTTGCCTATCCATTTTACTACTTCATTGAATAATTTATAGTTCAAATTTTGAATTATAATTAATTTAAAAGTCTTTAAGCACAAATCTTTTTTAAAATAGTGATTTTTAAGAGAAACAAGTACTTCACTCGTGCGTTACACGGGAATTGGCTAATTTTTCTAATTAGGCAAAGGTTAGGACAAGTCTAGAAGTCTTCTCGATTTGATTTGAAAAATAAAATTAAACTACACTACTAGGCGCATTTGAGAAAAAGAAAATAAATAGCACGAGTATAGGACTAGGCATTGGACCAATGCATCATCTAGATCAACTACAGTTGTCAGTTGTCACATATTTAATCAGTAATTGGAATAATATTTGTCACAAATATTTCATTAACTTATCCTCTCTGTATGCAACACTAACGTGTTCTATAAAGTTTGGCTTAAATAATTTTACTCTTATAGACAAAGACATGACAAAAGCTAATTTCCAATTGCACTAAGGCCCCGTTTGGTACACGGAATTTAAATTATGGAATTGGAATTGAAGACTTCAATTTCAATTGTGGTGTTTGATAGCACAAAAATTATGTGGATTTGGAATTGATAGTGCAAAAAATGAATTGGAATTGGCAGAATCCAATTCTATGGAATTGAATCCCATGGAATTTCAATTCCAATTCAATTCCAATTCCGTCAATTCCGTATACCAAACAGACCCTTAATGAATTTGATATCATCTAATTCGGGACTACCCGTGAAGTTTCGATGAATACAATTCCCAATAGCTTTGTGTTTTACTAATGTTTGGACACAATGAGCAAAAAAGTTGGCACTGCTACGGTGCTTACCCAAAGACATCAAATCCCTCTTATCCTCTTCACCAGCTTTGCTTTCAAAGCAGCACCATAGCATCACAAAAAAAAGGGGGGGCTCCCAATCTTGTTTATCAAGCTACAGCAAAACGACCATCTTTACGGCTGTGAAGTAGCAAAGAAATAACGTCAAGTGATAAAACAAGACAAAGAAGAAGACTAATAAATGAAGTCAGCGAAACTCACACAATCATGCATTTCCTAATGGAGGAGAATTTAACGTCAGGGAGAAGTGTGGATTTCGAAATCTGAACAGAAGGTCCTTGAAAGATGTATTTCTTGCAACAGAGGGAGTAACTGCAATCCTTTGAAGTGAGAATATTAAAGCGCCCATAGAGTTCGATCGCATACAACCCATCATCAGCTACAGGAATGAGATTGCAACCACTTACACACCTGAATGAGAAATATAAGAGCTCTTCTATGGATCTTTCGCCGAGATCAAAATGTTTGCCCAAGTCAACGGAATAGCACGTCAGTGTTTTAACGTCATGGCAATAAACAACAGTTGGTGAAGCACCAAGTGTATATACACAACGGCCAATGAGTGTTGGCTGGTGCATGATCTTATTACATGTCTGAAGGAGTGTGATGTTGCATTCACCACGACTGACATAGCGACACATCACAATGCCCTTCCACCCAAATAAGAAAAGATTCCCTTCCGCATCCATAACATCTCCGAACACATCACTGGGTAGTGCACATGTACTCGAATCATAGTTCACCTTCACATAACTCCATTCCCTTCTTTCGCCATCATACACCTCTGCCCAATTGTGATGGCTACTCTTCTCCCCATATTCCTCGGGCTCCCCACCGTATCCAAAAGCATAAAGTGAGCCCCCGGACACGACAAGGCGAGGGCAAAGTCGGGGTGTGAGGAAAGTACTCCTCTGCCACCCATCTCCTGGGTTATGTGTGTCGATGCTATAAACCCATCTAGAAGCTGCAGCACGGGGGTCAAGAGAACGACCCTTCGGCCACCAACCACCGGCGACAAATAAGATGGTGCCAAGGATCGCCGTCATAAAATTCGAAACAGGATCAAGCATCTCTAGCACAGGAAGCGCATCATTCGCAAGCTCAAGAGTGAAGTCTTCTTTTATATAGACCACGTGGCAATTGCAACGCATTCTACCAGAGACACGATCTCGGCCTATCAAGCCAAAGACGTAAAGGGTGGTACAGTCGGCATTTCCAGCCAAATTGGATCTGGATGGAACAATTTGCTGCAGTGCATCCTTGATTGGCGACTCCTGAACCAATAAAGAAAAAGCTCCAGAACTTTAGGATCTACCAATGAATCGAATGATTAGGAACTCCATAAAAAGAAGAAAATATATTCTTAGCAAGCAAGTTAAACATATACCACTGAGTGATTCTCTTATGACCATCCATTTTAATGTAACAACAGAGTAAGTCAGGGTACAAAGGGTGATATAACTCGATGGAGATGCGAATAAAAAAAAAGCAAATCTTACTTTAATATCAGAATCAGAGTAGTCTTCATCGGAATCGCCGGAGGCTTCTTCATTCTCTGATGCATCGGTGACGGTGCCCGCGCGTTCATCGCCAGCGATCGTGGGAGATGGAGAAGGATCGTTCGGCGAGCAGCCGGAGGCTGCAGCAGAGCAAATTGTTTTTAGGTAAATGGCCCTGCCCCACATTGCAACAGCCCAAGCTATCGCAACTGAATACATGAAGTGCATCGCTTCTCTTAATTGTTTCTACAACTGGGCAAAGAGAAGTCAGAGATGTAAGACAATGAACAATGGTACAACATCGACAAATATGGGCAAGAGAGATTTTTTAGAAACAATCAACTCCTAGTTAATATCATGAACAACAATATGAACAAAAACAAACCAGACCATTAATTAAAACATAAGGGCGTAATGATTCAAATGAGTACCAAGTTTATTGACTCCAAAATTCATATTCACCAGGAGCTATCCAAATACAAAATTACAAATACAGCTACATAAGGGCTGCGTGTTCAGATTGAACAAACAAAATCCAATTTTTATTCTCAAACATGGGCTGACAAGCAACCTCATCAAAACTCAAATATCAAAACATCTCGCAAACAGAGAGGTCAACAAATACATGAGATGGTATGTAGAAACAAGAACTTGAGGAAAAAAACTCTACTACTATGCGTTTCTGCTGGTACAGACAGGGACAACCGACTTGTGATATTAAGGAGTGAGAAGATTTGGAGCATAAGAAATCCATTGGAGATTCATCATACCAGGCTGCCGATTTTTTCTGGGGGCGATGCTGGGTGGGTCTCGAGAAGAGCGACGATCGGAGGAGGGGATACGATCGCCTGAGATCTCGTTTGGGGAAGAAGAAGGAAGATCCCAGAATGGAAAGGCGTAAATAGGTCTTCAGTACTCCCCATGTTTTTTTACTCCCTTTCAAAAAAAAATTATTACTATTCACACGGTCAAATTTTAATTATATCATTTACATATTTTCATTAGTCATTTGATTAAAAAATACTCCCTCCGTCGGAAATGTTCTTCCCATTTGACTTTTTACGGTCTCCAAGATTACACTTTGACCACTAATATCTTTATTTATACATGAATATATTTTTATAAACATTTGATATTTGAAAAATATATTTCAAAATAAATATATATTCATATTAAAATTATATCATAATACAATGTATTTTTTCTACATACCATAGTCAAAGTTTACAAATTTTGACCAAAAAAAGTCACATGGAAAGAATATTTCCAGACCCATAATATTGCCACATCTTCTTTTGTACTACCTCAATCCTAGATTATATGACCAATTTTGACTTTTTTCCGTCAATCATTTTCAATCTTTGACCCATAATTCAACAAAATATATATTGTATATTAATTAGATAAAATATTTTTTAAAAAATATATTGTATAATAAATCTAATAAAACTATTTTATATCAATATCTAATATGATTGTTACTATTCACACGGTCAAACTTTAAATACTTTATTCACACGGTGATTCACAAGCTGTCTTCTCTCTCACCTGAAAAATTGTTACTATTCACACGGTTAAACTTTAATTACTATATTTGCACGGTGATTCACAAGCTGTCTTCTCCCTTATATTCTTTGGGTGGAAAACATTTCAAAAAAGGCGTGAAGGTGTGTAATTTCACTAATAGCTTACTTAAGCGTCGTTCCGTTCAACTTATTTTTTTTATTCTTATTAAAATCAGAATAAATCAGATCAGACTAGATCAGATCAGATCGAATCAAATCGGATCCAATCAGATCCAATATGATCAGATCTCATCAGATTAGATCAGATCAGACCAGACCAGACCAGATCAGAACTACAGACAATCAGATCAGATCAGAAAAAGTATGTTGAACGGAACGAAGTCTTAATCTGATAACTTATTCAAATTGATCATTAAGAAAATGTTTGTGTTTGTTTATTGTTCAAATTTGTAATTACAAGAGTTTTGTAGTTTGCAGATGGAATTCACTTGACTATTGAAGAGACACAACTACAAGCTGGATTTTTTTAAATGTTTGATGGCCTTTTGGATTTTTATTACTACACGTGTCTCTTTTGTGACATGGAGTGGCTAATTCATTCATTAGTTAATACTGTAATATAGATTGATATCGAAAGTTTGTTGGTGGGTGTGTTCAGTTCTCTTAAAAAAATTGTTAACCTTTAAAAATAAGTTGTGGGTGTGTTTGAAATTCATTTCAAACAAGACGATTGCAACACAATACGAATATTTGAGGAAAATTGCGCTCAAAACAAACAAGAACATGCATTATTCCGGGACAAAGTGTTGATTCTTCATACAAGTAATCGTAGCGAACGGATTAAATTATGTCTAGGCAACACACCATGGGATACATAAACATATCCAGAGCATCCAAATAAAATACTCTGTAGAAAAGTGATTTCAATTGATAAGCTGCCAAATTGAATGCAAGTGTCAACCAACTTAGCATATCTCCATTCCTGCTGATCCGTACCTTTCGATTGGAGCCTGTCGCTACCTGGATCAATCAGTCTATTTGTGAATCATGGTGTGGAAGATCTAGTTCATGCTTTTTGCCTTCCTACATCCGAAGCATAACGTGTATAATGGTCAATTCGTTCTAAGTCTTCGATCCGTAGGCTTTCCCACCTCTCTCGATTTCGGTAGATGACCTGTCGCTACTCGGCTGGGTCGTCCTTCCCCAATCTCTACCGTTCCCAAGTTGAAGGAATTCGAGTTTAGATCCAACCCGGGTTTGTATAGGAGTTCATATTGCTCCCAAAGCTCCTTCACACCTTTGTTCTTTACACTGGGGGATTAACAAATACACAGTAAATCAAATTCAATTATAGCAAAGAAGAAAGATCATTTGGATACCTTTCGTAATCTTTTTCGTCCAGAAGCTTCAGCATCTCGTTCGCTGCACATACCATATTCTGTGCTCCCACTCTACAAGAACACGGATTTTATACATTCAATTATACCCCAAAAAAATGAAGATACTCAAAAAATGTACTCCTTTTCACTCACTCTTGGCTAATGTTGATGATCTCTTCAAGAGCATTGCGAATTGCCTCCCACTTATCGCGACGGTGTAGCCCATAGCTGTGCAATTTATTAGAAAAACATTCAGTTTCAAAATAAGGGGGAAATATTAACTAGTGATTCAGTAGGTGCAAAAAAAAAGAATACTCACATAGCTGCGTGAATGCCATCAACAATTGCACAAAAGTTCAACAGGTAGCGCCTTATGGTCAGAGGCCGGTATTCTGTTGCTTTAAGCCAAGCTTCTTCGGAGTCTTCGTCAACCACATTAATTGTACGAGGCTGGTATGTCGAGAGCTCAGGAATGTCCATTCTTGACAGATAAGAAAATGACATGATCGAAATTATATTCAGGGTTCGGAATGTCTGTGAAATGAAGGAAATGGTTAAAAAAGACATTCTCACCCTCCATCCCAAGAATTTCATATTTTAACAAAAACATCCATGACTTATTTAACATGCATGATGCACCCTCCGTATTTAACAAAAACATCCATGACTTATTTAATCCTCCGTATTTAAAAAGAACTTGTTTAGAGTTAAAAAAAACACCAGATTCGGAAAGCATCAAATTTCAGTTGAAGGGAAAGCGTGGTTCAACCGGGAAAAAAACCCCTATTCTATGAAGATCCTAATACGTGTCCAAAATCCATTTAACATGTTGATTGTGGGAGGATGAATATGTGTTCAAAGCATAAATTGATTAGAGCACAACTAATTATGAAAAGAGGTTTACTCATCCTCGGAGCATATATTCATTCTTCAGATTCAAATCCAATTATTCAATTTCTGTAGCATCCAAATTTGAATCCAATGATTCAATTTCAGAAATTGTTCATACTACATGTTTAAACATCACACGAAGTAAATAACGTATGTTTAAAACGAATTATGCAATTTTTAAATTCCAATATTCAGATTTGAGATTGTTAAATGGCATCCATAGTGTACATATTTCATGTTATTGTTTATGCAACAAAACATGCGGTTCAGATCGCAATTTCAGATCTAAAACATTATGATCAGAATCAGGAAAATTTAAAATACCTGAAGCGCGAGTGAGTGGATTTCGGGGTAGAAGCTGGATCTCGGAGGTTGCAGCGTCCTCCTCTTCAATGGAAGGGAAGACAACGAATGCGTCTTTTTCGAGGAAGTTCTAAAAATGTAGCGTGGAGAATATTTCTGGCCAAGAAGTAAAAAGAATATTTCCAGGCAGAGTATAATATTGCCACATCTTCTTTTGTACTACCTCGGTTTTTGATTATATGACCAATTTTGACTTTTTCCGTCAATTGTTTTCAATCTTTGACCTATAATTCAATAAAATATATATTGTATATTAATTATATAAAATATTTTTTAAAAAATATCTTGTATAATAAATCTAATAAAACTATTTTATATCAATATATATCTAATATGATTGTTACTATTCACACGGTCAAACTTTAAATACTTTATTCACACGGTGATTCACAAGTTGTCTTCTCTCTCACCTGAAAAATTGTTACTATTCACACAGTTAAACTTTAATTACTATATTTGCACAAGGGGTGTTCAAAAATATCCGATCCGAAATATCCATCCACGATCCGGGCCGATCCGATCCGAAAAATGGATATCTGATCCGATATTTTAGCTTTCGGATATTTCGGATCGGATACTCGAAACAAATCGGATCGGATATGGATTCAATTTCTGGAATTTTTCGGATAATCGGATATCCTATTTTTTTTGCTATATGTTTTTTGGAATTTTATGGATATATATTATGACTATATGTTTAAATGTAATTTTATGTTGATTTTGGAACTCAACCATTCTGGACTTTTTGTATTAGCATTTTAGAATTTTTTGTTTTAATAGTGTTTTTTTTGTTTGTTTAGGCAAAATTACCAAAGTAACTCCCAAATTAAATTTGGTGTCATTTTTTATTAGGCCATTACCAAGTGGTGGAATTTTTCTTTTAGTAAATCTATATTGAATTTGATATTTTGGGTTGATTTTGCTATTTTACCTTTTTTTTTTGTAAATTTTGGCTAAAAACTCAACTTTTTGGATAATCCATTGATCCGATCCGAAAAATCGGATATCCAAATTTCGGATATCCGAATATTTTAGAATCGGATATGGAATGAGTTTTACATGATCCGAATTTTTTGGATATCCGAATTTTCGGATCGGATCGGATCGATCCGATTGAACACCCCTAATTTGCATGGTGATTCACAAGCTGTCTTCTCCCTTATATTCTTTGGGTGGAAAATATTTCAAAAAAGGCGTAAAGGTGTGTAATTTCATTAATAGCTTACTTAAGCCCCGTTCCGTTCAACTTATTTTTTTATTTTTTCTTATTCTTATTAAAATCAGAATAAATCAGATCAGACCAGATCAGATTAGATCGAATCAAATCAGATCCAATCAGATCAGATCAGATCAAATTAGATCAGATCCAATTAGATCAAATCAAATCAGATCTCATCAGATTAGATTAGATCAGATCTGATCTGATTCGATCTGATCTAATCTGCAAAGTGGCCTATCGGACAAAGCCTCTAATATTTTAAGTTTCATATTTTTAAATTTGGCATTAATTTTAAGGAATGAGTACGCTAAAAAAAATAGGGCCTAAATTGTAAATTTTGGACCGGCTCAATATTATTTTTTCATTTTTCGGGACCAACCATGTCAATACTTCGGTGGAAAGATAAGAGGCTTGTGAAATCATGTTCTCGAGTTGTTATCAAATTCTCAAACATCGTTAAGTTTGATGAAGTTTGTGGAATCTCGAGCACGTTTGTTTCTGGGGCTGGACATAGGGATTTAGGGCGAATCAAGATACATTGTTGTCTTCTCGCACTTCATTTTTGTTGAATTATCTTCCTTGCTTGGTGTTCATGAGTTTTTTGTTTTATAAGGCAAAAATTTCTACTCGATTGTAGAACGCTTCTATTCCCCCCTCCCCCTCCTCTAGAGATGTGAAAAACACCTAACAAATAATTAATACTCCGCAAAATTATTATCATTTACGAGGTTCTTACAACTTTTCTCTCTGTTCTAAATTAGATTACAATGTCTCCGTATGAGTCAAAATCTTGCATTTTATAAGATACAATTTATTTAGGAGTTAGTATAAAAATAATTAATAAAATTTGTAAAAATAATTAATAAAATTTACGTATTAAAAACTTGCGAAAAAATTCTAAAAATAAGAAGTGACAATAATATTTGATACACAAATAAAAAAGTCAAACTTTATTAATATTATTTATCTATTTTTATTGATTATTTGATAAAATAAATTACCACTTCTTTTGTAGATCCTTTTAATATATAATATTCTTTTCATTTTTACAACAATCCTTTATATATAATATTTGGGAGTTAAACTCCCAGAAATTCGACATGTGGCAGGCTACTTGGCAATTTTTTGTACACATCATCAGCCACATTTGATGACTTAAGTGACTTGGCAATTTTAACTTAAAGTATGAAAACATCTTATTAGAGCAAATATTCATTCCCAATTATTGCACATATGCAAAACTTTTACAAGGTATATGTAAAGTAATTATAATTAGGAGGTTATAAATGTTAATTATAAAAAACTTTCAATTAATTGCTAATGACATTTATTGGCTAATCCTTTCTTTTATTATAAAATTTGAGACTCTGGCTTACATGATATTAGCATGTCACGAGCTAATATGACATTTTTAATAAATCATCAGTTGTCTATTTATTATTTTAATGAGTTGGTAATTTTATTCAACATACGGAGTACTGATTTGACCTTATTTTATTTTATTTTTTATTGATTGAACATGGTGACTTTATTATTTGTCTTTTTAGTTTCATGCAGTTAATTTTAAGAATTAGCAACTCTATTGTTTTTAACACCCGGTTCATTTTTCGAATGATATGTTTGACCAATGAAATTTTTTATCAAACATATTTTTTATTTTGAGATTATAGTCTAATTTTTAATATTTCAATTCATTATATATATATTTATATAAATAATTATTCAAGCATTTGACAGCAAAGCGAACTGAGACAGTTAATGAATAAAGTTTTTAGAATTATTTAAACATACCAATTTATTTACTATATATACGTATGGGGGGGGGGGTAAAGAACACTTTCTATTTTTGGATTTTAGAATTACTCCCTCCGTCCCCTTAAGATCTTCTCATTTTGACTTTTTGTGGTTTTTAAGGAGAGCTGAAAAAATGTGAAAGTTTACCATAATATCCTTAATAAAAATGGGTGTAGCGTATTAAATAAGGTAGGTGAGGTGTAATAAATAAAGTAAGTGGGAATAGTTGTGGTATATATTTTAATTGTTAAAAAAGGTAATGAGAAGATCAATGGTGAACAAATAAAAAGGGTAAATGAGAAGATCTATGAGGGACGGAGGGAGTATATTTTTGCATAAAAAAGTGATTTAGATTCATCCATTTTTATGAAATAATTAATTATGCACCTACTTCTTTGAATGAATTTTATTAATTTTATATTTAGGTTAGTGGTCTTATGCTTAACAAAAAGAATGGGTTTGGTTGCCACATATCTTGAAAAAAATGACCATGTTAAAACTCCTCATTGTATAAGTAGATTTAATCTTCTCATTTAACTTTTAACGCTCTCCAATATAATATTCTGATCATTAATATCAATATTTATGCTTATCATATCTTATGAAAATTCATATTTTAAAACAACGTTTTAAAAAAGATTATTGATATTGCATTTATAGATAAACAAAAATTGTTTTTTCATATATCGACGCCAATCTTTATCTTTATATATTAAATTTAAGAGTTAAACTCATAGAATTACAATAAGTGGTGATTCTACATGACAACATTTTAACAAATCATCCGCCACCTATACGGATTACGAAGTGCCACTATAATTATTTGGGGAAAAAAACTAAAATAAGATTAGAATATGGAGAAAGTGCCAAAATATGAGTTTCATATTTTTTATCTCCAAAATATTAACTACAATACCAATATTTTATTATATAGTGCTAAAAACATTATGAAATGGTAATATACACTGCCACAACGTCACTGTGTAAACTTTATTTAGGAAATAAAAATATTGATCTCTTATTCTGGGCATAAGATTTATGTCTTACTCCTATTTGAGTGATTTTTTTAGTTTTGTTTAGGAAATATATACAGAGTAATATATATAGTATTTAGAGTCCGAAAGCAGAACTAATCCAACAAGTAAGTCTAATAATATGGGATGTAGCATGTATGACGAATAGATTTATTTTTAAGGTGTTGGATTACAAAATGAGAGATGTAATGAATTTCTCTAATAAAAACTCAAGAAATGAACCATTTGGAGGGAAAATAGTTGAATTCAGAGGGTAAAAAGTAGGACTCGAATGGAAAATAGTTGTACTCAAATGTGAATTTTGGCAAACTCTTCATGTTTTACCCAAAACTTCAAGAGAAAAAATTGTGAGTGCTATCATCTATTCTTTAAAATTATGGTCGTATTTTAAAATTTATATGTTAGCAAAGAATATGATATTACATTCTTCTACATCATCTATCCCAGATAGGGATACACAAATATTTTCTGATTGGATAATTAAAGTTAGAGATGAAAAACTTAGACAAGTGATTGATGAAACAACTGACCTTAAAATTCCGCATAAATTATTAATTCTAGAAACAAGTTATTTTGTGAAGAGTATAGTGGACTTCACTTATCCTAATTGAACCTATTGGAGGGTATGAAAATTTATTCATTTTTTAGGATATGGCACTACTGGACCATGCTTGATGTTGTAGAAATGGTAAATGAATTTGTCATATCCCTCATTCCCTAATATGAAATGGTGTGCCTGAGTTTTGATTCTTCATGTCAGGCCGATTCAGATATAATTATTGATGACAATTAAATAACAATTAAATTTTAAATGAAATCAAATGTTCGAGATCCAAAACTACAAAATAATCTTAAAAATGGGTTAACGATTTTGATATTGAGAAACATTGACCAAATATATGGATTATATAATGGTACACGATTAATCCTTGAAGAGCTATGAAAGAATGTTGTTGGTCTATTGTGGTTTTGAGAAAACGAGTCAGCAAAAAGTTTACATACTCCAAATGAAATTGATACCATCTGATCTAGGACTACTCTTGAAGTTATTTATAAGGCAAATCTCAATAGTCTTATATTTTGCAATGACTATCAACAAAAGTCAAAGTCAAACATTGTCATTTATTGCATTGCTTTTAACCAAGTTGGTATTCACTCATGGTCAGGTTTATGTTATGGTTCCATGAGTGAAGACAAAAACACAATTTAAAATATTGGTTCTAGATGACAATGATACCCTTATATCAAAAAAATTATATACCCTACAGTCTTTCAAAAAGTTTGGTATTAAAAAAACTTAGTTGAATATACATTCAATTCCTCAAATATTGTTTATTCTACTTTGGAATTTTTGTATATAGTATTAAAAATCATAGGGAAATATATTTTCTTTATTCTGGGAAAAAATATTACATTAAAAAAGTTTTAGAACCAATAAAAATTTTGTTCGACCACGTGCGTTGCACGGGTAAAAATACTAGTGTTCATATAAATTGAACTGAAAATAACTTCAATTTAGTACCGTAATCTAAAACCAGAAACTTAGAGGGATGGAGGGAGTAAAAAAGTATTCCTCTTCATGAAAACGTTCTTTCCATTACGTATAACGATATAAATGTTACAATGTTTGTTCGACTTTATTTTCAATTCAATTGATGTGGTTATAATTGTACTATATAAAATAAAATTTATATATTAAAAATGTTAAATATATTAATTATTTTAATATATTTAGTATTATATATTATAATTATGGTTGTTACCTATTATAGTTAGAGTTATTATTATATAATATTACCTTATATAATTAGTCATTAATGTAGAGGATTTTAGAATATATTCATTCACCTATAAATACATACGTTGTATTCCTCTCTTATTCATTCAATCAATAAAACGTTCTTTGTTATTTTACATGGTATCGGAGTCTTTGCTCTTTGTGACCTAATAGTTTTTGCTTCCGGCGACGGCGGCTCCACTTTTTACTTTAGCTTGTTCTTCCTTTGATCCTAATTCTTTCATAATTCCATCTAGAAAAAAATGTTCCTAGCCAACCACAATCGTCTGTTTCTAGATCCATCACTACCGCTTCTTGATTTAAGATGATATTGTCACATCAACTTGCTCAAGCATATTTTTAGTTAACAAGCACCCCTAGCAACACTTCATTCTTTTTGTTTCTCCTCTAAATTAGTCGTGCACGACTCTAGCGCACGTCAACCTTCTCCATCTTTCGACGTCAGCAGCATGTGTCTGTTCGCAGCGACTTTTCTCCTCTCCTCATCAGCGCCATCAGGTCTCTTTCTTGGCAATCTTTCTTCTTCTCTTCTGGGCCGGATGCATGCAGTCTACTCAAGCCGAAGATATGCCTCTAGCATCTGGTTACAATTCTGGTCACGATTCAAGTAAAAGTTAACGTTCAATCTTCACCTTCCAAGACGTTAGTAGCATGTTAAATATATGTATTATTTTAATATATTTAGTATTATATATTATAATTACAGTTGTTACCTATTATAGTTAGAGTTATTATTATATAATATTACCTTATATAATTAGTCATTAATGTGGAGGATTCTAGAATATGTTCCTCCACTTATAAATACATACTTTGTATTCATCTCTTATTTATTCAATTAATAAAACGTTCTTTGTTATTTTACAAAAACCCACATTAAAATTCCACAATACTTTTTGTATTATATATTGGCATAATTGACATTGTAAATGCATTTTAACTCATATTTTGAAAATAAAAGTATGAAATTCTTATTTTGATAGATTTTCTATATTTTACCCTTATATATTTTGACCAACAAAAGTCAAAAAAGAAAATTAAATTTGGACGGAAAGAGTATTATATTATGAAATATATAGTGAAAATAATAAAAACAAATAAAATTTGGCCATGTGAATAATGCACGGGAAAATATTTACGGACGGAGAGTATACAGATAAAGAGAGAAATATGTAAGAAAAGAATTGTAATTAATTGAAAGAGTTGTGTTTCTGTGATCTTAACGTTATAATATACTCCCTCCGTCCGAAAATATTCTTCCCATTTGACTTTTCTTAGTCAAAATTTGTAAACTTTGAGTATGATATGTGGGAAAAATACTTGTATTACGATATAACTTTAATATGAATATATATATTCAATTTGAAATATAGCTTTCAAATATTAAATTTTTATAAAATATCGTATATCTATATATAAATAAAGATCTTAGTGGTCAAAGTGCAATCTTGGAGACCGTAAAAAGTAAAATGAGAAGAACATTTTCGAACGCAGGGAGTAGAACTTTTCACATTTTCAAAGGCGGACAAGTGAAGTTTTTTTTACTAATGACCTAATTGGCGGCTAATTCGTGCATGATATTTATAAAAGAATCTATAAAATGTGTGGAGAATTAAGGACCACATCACAGTTTTCCAGGTTGAAAACACGATTATACTATGAAGATATGATTACATGGAGGAAGGGGGAAGGGGCATTTGATTTTCTTTTGCCTTTTCAATTTTTCTTTGAAATAATGTCTTCCATTTTTTATTGGGAGGTTTCAAAAAGTCAAAACTAAACCCTAAGTGTCTTCCGCCTCCCCCATTTCGTTATCGCACAGACAGGAAGGCCGCCGCACACCATCCAGGTCCATTCCCGCTGCTGGTGAAGAAGAACTAGAGAGTCAAACCGCTGCATTGGAAGCTACCATTTGTACTCACTTAACACCCAATCGCCGATCAGTCCGACACAATCCGACACATTTTGTCTCTGGGTTCCACACCGGAGCCCACCTTCAGGTTCTTCTCTCTATTTGTCCCTAAAAAATGTGTTTTAATTTCCCCATCACACTCTGCCACAGAACACCAAGCTCAGATTATTATTATTATTATTATTATTATTATTATTATTATTATTATTATTATTAATATTTAAAAACAAAAGAGAGACACTGTGATATTTTCCTAAATCTATGGGATTTTGTAATTAAACACAATCCTCATATAATCCACTCAGTTTTTACTAGCGTATTCTGTATTTTATTTAAGGCTAGGGGTTTTTACTTCGTTTTTATTTTGTTTAGGATATATACATGACCCCATCTCATCTATTAAATCTTGTTTATCTTAGGCGCAGACACCTTATATTTATTTTATTTGGCAATGGAGGAATCACAGTCAGCCTCTTCTTCTTCTGAACTGCCCTGTGTTAGCTTTAATTATAGAACATATGGGTTGGATAAAGATGGACAACTTCCTCCCCCCGGACTGTTTCATTGTGATTTATTGTTTGATGATTCTGATCCTGTTCAAGCATCCTGTTATTGTGCAAAACCCAAAAAAGAGGACGACCAACGAATGATAATAGTTAGCAAAATCCGTAGCCCTTTTCTTCTAGAACACCTTTGTGGCATGGATAAAGCCACTTCTTACCATTTTACCCCAAAGATGGATCATATGACCTTTTTGGGGTATTTTGAGGATTTGTTCCACCAGTTTAACAGAAGAAGGGGTGGATTCTCTTGGATAGAGCATGTATGGATGTCTCTTCGGGTTGTGGGAAGGTGATATTACACTTGTTTTCCATCATTTAATACAATTAGAGTTTATTTTGTCTTTACTCAAAGTTTTTCTTGAAATTTCAGCGCCATATTAAAGGGCATTCATGATTTGTTCACTAATGGTTTCAACCACACGTTATTACGTAGTGGTATAGCCATCTTCTGTGGCAGTCGTTCGCTTCCGGCACCGAAACTATTCAATTTTGAATGTATGTTATAATTTTTTCTTTGGATATCTTGATATGTTAGTAACAAATTCACTACGTTGTTAATCAAATTAATTTATTTCATATTTTTTAGTGACTCAACGTTCTCCAAAAGATCCGGAATTCATCCACAAGCTCATTCTTGATTTGAATGCTCTAAAAGATTTGGTATCTCGAGTATTTCTAATGAAAGGTTCGATAGAAAGGGTCGAACCTTATTACTCACAGTTGAACCGTTACCTTGGCGTTGATTTTGGCCGGTGAGTGTTTCTTACTAGTGTAGGAAATTTCTTAGTTTTTTATGTTCATGTTTTGTTTTTTCTGCACTAACAAGTATTAATTTTTAATTTGTTTTATTTTTAAGCTGTAATGCCACACCGTGTGTAGACCTTCCGGATTCGATTGTTGAACCAATAATGAAGACAAAAATATTTGATCCATTTTTCTGGACTGTTACTGATACTATGCTATTTATGAGAAAGATGGATCAAATATTTGGGAAGTATCCGAAAGTTGAAATCTCAATCAAAGAGGGAATGGGGGGTACATTCAAATGGACACATCTGGATATGGGGGTGTTCAAAGACGCATTCCATTGGGACCCAAGTGCTCATCAAACTGCCACTCAAAGCAGTGGCAGTAGTGCTCCTCCCTCCAGTGGCAGTGCTGACCCTCTTCTTTCCTTCAAAGAGGTATCACTGTTCCACCTTATGCTCCAACTAGAAGGGGTCCCACTGCTCCCCCAACTGCCACTCAAAGCAGTGGCAGAGCTCCTCCCTCCTCTTTCCCTCAAAGAGGAGGAATCAATGTTCCACTGCGTGCTCCAACCAGAAGTGGTCCCACTGCTCCCCCTTCAACACCCATGCCAGCATTACCTACAAAAACTCGATATCAAAACGGGATCAAGTCTAACTGCAGGTTTTATCGCAATTTGATTGAGCACCCGCCGGACAACCAGACATCTATGCCTGGCGCAAAAATGGTGATTAATTAACTTTTTTTTTATTTTTTAGATTTTTATCTTTTTTTATCATGACTCTAACATTATAGAAATATAATTTTGGTCAACTTTATCATTCACAGACTTCAGCAGAAATAGACCATGCATTCCATGTCCTCTTCCCTGAAACCATTTCCTACGTAAGGAATGGTTTGATGAATTCAATTGTGAACCCTAAGCCTGGTGGAGATCCTTATGTTTGGAAAAGGCTTAACATGTAATGATTGAATTTTTATTTGTTCCTTTACTAATATTATTTGTTTTATGTTAGTTCAATACTTCAATTCAAAAATTAACTTGTCTATTTCATTTGTTCAGGTTGAATTATTTGTTACCAACAACCCCCTTCAATGTCGACTTCTAAGTTGGTGAGTGATGATGTTGGAAAACCCCAATCATTTGGTCCGGACCGAACCCGGACTCACTGTATTTAGTTTCGGTCTTTGGTCCTATATTATTTCAACATTTTTAGTATCGATAATTCATTTCGGTCCGGACGGAAATAACCCAATACCATCAGTAATTCAGTATACTCTGTAATCCTTAATGCCTAGTCCATACTTATCTCTTTATCTCCTTCCACAGATTCACAACATCGCAGCAATGGGGTGCAGTTAGGACTTGTTGCAATTATTGAAGTACAGACGAAACCTGACCTCCTTTTGTGATCCATTTTGTAAATCAAGTACTCTTTTTTGGTACCATTGCATGTCGGAGTCCCTTTTTTGGTACAGTTGCATGATGACGCTTTTCAATTTGGTAGACTTGCATCCCTAATTCCCCATGACTATTTTCTGCTACAATTTGCATGATGACATGACAATTATTTTAACATGGAAACTTGTATTGATACTAAATCTCTCTATGAATTTATATACTCCGTATATTGCCTGTATTACAATCATTATTCTTTTGTCATAATTTATTATATGCTTGTTTATTACTCCGTACTTATATTGTCAAAATTTAACCGCCTTTTTAACTCATTTTTGTTACTAATTTGATACAATAATAGTTTTGTCATTTTTTGTATTGTAAATTTTTAAATTATAAATGTTACTTCCTCCGGCCCAATTTGTAGTGCATGTTCACTATTCATAAAGTCAAATTTCATTCACTTTCTCTATTTTTTGTTAGTAATTTCATAAAATAAAGTACTATTATTACTACTAGTTTTGTACTAGATTTTTTGATGTATTATTTTAGTATGTAATTTTTATTTTTTAACTCTATACAACTTGTTATATAAAATGATTTATATATAATTTTAATCAAACATCGTAAACCGAATCAGACACTATAAATTGGGACGGAGGAAGTATGTAAGTACTACGGAGTATTATTTTAATCTTACATGAATTTTCAAATAAATTGAGTATGATTATTTGTTCAAGGAACAAATTAAATTAAGTGAAGCTAAATGCACCTTCTATTGGGTATGTGGAAATGTTAACCAACTCTTCTTCCTCGGTCAGGGTCCAAACTTTTAGGGAACTTCCAGTGGCGGATCCAGAATGTTAGATAGTAGGGGTCAGGTTTTGGGTGTTCGGAGGCAACGTCCCAATTTTTTTTTAGATACATGCAATGTGAAACTTTAAGGAAAAAATAATAAATTCAGCAAACACCTATTCAAATAGTAAATAAAATAAAAAACTAAATTTTTTTATTTAATGCCAATATTATAAATTAGTTTAATTACTACTCCGTATATTTTTAGTGTACAGCTTTCGAATATATCTTTGGGATTTTAAATCTTTCACTTTAAAATTATATTCTTTTAATATTTAAATATTCAACTTCTCTCATTATTTTCTTACTTAACACTATTAATTGAGGTCTCTAATGCTTTTAATTGGAATCTCTAATATTTTTAGTTGGGGTCATAAATTACACAATGCTAAGAAACATTTAAAAAAATTAAGTATCACAATACAAATGTTAAAAAAATTTAAAAATAGTAGGCGTCATTGCCCCCAACTACTGATTCTGAAATTTTTGCTACTGCATTTGATGTTATTTTTGAAATTGTTACATCTAGAATGATCTCGCGCTTGAGCGTAAGCTGCAAATGTGAAAAATAGAGAATTTGACGAAGACACGAGTGATCAAAATGGATCCATTGTACTTAAAATATAAAAAAGATTAATAAATTTTTTTTTGTATAATTCAAAAAGATCAATGGAGGTGTGCGATAATGGTCAGTGGGAGAGAGATGTTTAAATAGTTAAGAAAATTTTTGAAGTTTCTTTTATTTTTAACGGTTAGAGTTAAAAAAAACAAAAATGACTACTCCCTCCGTCCCAAATTATAATGTCTGTTTACTATTTACAGAGTCAAACTTCATTCACTTTCTTTCTCTATTTTCGTTAGCAATTTGATACAATAAAATATTATTGTCACTACTAGTTTTGTAGATCTTTTGATGAAGTTTTTTAATATGTAATTTTTATTTTTTAATTCTATACCATTTGTCATATAAAATGGTTTGAAAATAATTTCAGCCAAACATCGTAAAACGAAACAAGCGTTATAAATTGGGACGGATGTAGTATTAAACAATAACAGTTGAAAAAAGGAAAGTAGGAAGCAACAAGAAAAACGAGACAGGGAACTTGTCCTTCTCATTCCCGCATACGGGGACGTATTCCCCTTTTCCCGCTGATGCCACGTCGCATTCTTGACTTCCCGTGCCATACGGCCATACCTCATGGCCTTAGAGCATTGGCAGCGGCAAGGCAAAGCCTTGCCATGCCATGCCACATCAGTCTCCACCCTTATTTGCAAGTCATTTTTTAGGTGTGTCACCTCTCTTAGCGTGTCATAGGCGAGTCAGTTTTATTTCTTTTTTTGCTTTTCTTTTGTGAGGATTGGTGTAGAGAATTGAAAATGAAGATTTTTTTCATTCCCTATTTTGAAGCTACTAGAAGAAATAACGTAGCTAGTTGATTGTAAATCCACCAAGTGCAAAAAGGAAAAATCGATCGAATATATTTTCATTACTGCCAAAACTTTTTTCTCTCATTTTTAACTTAAGAAACAAATAAACTTTTTATGAAGATATTGGATATATATATATTTTTATGATAAAATATATGATAAAAGTATTTTTTAATTTAAAGTACATAAAAAAATGTAAATAAAAATAATAATGACTTCGACAGTAAGGATTGTTACTCTCATCAAGTTTTTTTTTCTAAAAATGAGTAAATCTATTTTTATGAAAAAAGAAAAGTAAATTAATTTTTAATTAAAAAAGTAAAAAATGACAAAAATAGAGACTTGCCACTGCACAACACTTCATTCCACACCTTTGCCACACGCTGACTAGACTGTTTTTTATTGGCTATAGCATTCCATGTCAGCGTGTGGCATTCCATTTTTGCCTCCCCGTTGCTCATGCTCTTAGGCTATGGGTCGGGGTATGGTGGCAACTGGCAAATTATACTCTATTCGTTCCCTAAAACAATTTTTGTTTTGACATGGGAAAGATTTAATTTCATAGTTTGACTTTCTAATTATATTTTTATTATCGAAGAAAAAAAAGAGAGACAAATCATTTAAATGACTTATTATATCAATGCAAATTGAATGAAGTATATTGTAAAAACTTAATTTAGATATATTAGCCATTTTTTATAAAAATGGAAATGTTTTTGGAAAAATGAAAAAAATGAAAGAGGAACTATTTTAAGGAAGAGTATTATACATTCGGTTGTACCTAATTTTGGATACAACCAATAAATTATTTATGGTATGGATTTTATTTTTTATGAGAATGAACACTAAGTCATTTAAGAATAAATACTACTCCAGGTCCGAAGGAAAAAGGAGTATTTTGTTTTAAAATAAACACTACATTATTTGTAGATGAATATTATAATTGTATAGAAATCACCCTAAATAAGACTAAAACATAGAGAAAAGTATCAAAATAAGATTTTCATGTTTTTTTCTGGAATAGGACTTTGCACTGTGGTAATGTGGCACTGTACATGTGCACATTACTATACTTTTTTGGTAATGTAAGTTTTATTTCGGAAATAAAAACATAAAAGTTTTATTTTGGTATATATTCAATATTTTAGTCCTACTTTGGTTTTTCTCCCATAATTATATTGAACCAATGTGTGAAAATGAGTACCGCATTATTTTAGAATAAGTCCTATGCTAATTATCATCATTTTGGCGTCAGGCATAGATATGTGGTTGTCCAGTGGGTGCTCTATAATATTTCGTTAAATTCTATAATTAAACACTCCGTATGTAAATATCGGGTTGTTTGAGGTGGTGATTGCTGTTGGGAATAAAACACACAACACACAACACACACAAATATCTGCGAGAAACGAGAGAAACGGAACACAAACGACACACAAGAATTTAACGTAGTTCGGTTTCCCTAATCCACGGCTGCAACAGGAGGATTTTCTTATTTCACTTGTGGTGCCGATTACAAGTACAAGTATGCAATATATATAGGAAGAACGCAACTAGGGTTACAACAAACGGGCCGGGCCTACAAATCAAGCCCAAGCCTCCACAAACCCAACATTCTCCCACTTGGAGGCTTGATAGTTATCAACTGCCATCCGCCGCGATTGCTTGTACATCGAGTAATCTTCCTCAGCTCTCCTGTTGCAGCGGCCCTCTCATCAGACAACTGAAAGGCCCGTTGAAGCTCTCCCAAGCTCCAACACATCAGTCATGGCTAAATCTGCCACTGACTCGTCCTCGGTCCCTACCGGCTCCCACTGCAGACGCACACTACCGGATCCTGGAACATCCTGAGAACAAACACTCTCCGTACTCAGCAAGAAATTTTCTGGAGATGTTCCAACAGCTGAAATACTGGTTCTCCTGACCCACTGTCTTCTAGGCAACTTGGCTGAAGCGCCTCTTGAGCTCCCACTGCCACAAATACCTCTGACTGGCCCCCTTGAACCTTTCCTCGCTCGTTCATCCTGAGTCTGACCTGTGGCTCTAGGTTTCTCTCTTGCATAGACAACCTTATTCTGCCCACGAGACTCTGTGAACCGGACTTTGTTTCTCTTCTGAACTGGGACGGTCACTCCCTCACACGGTAACCCGACCATGTACAACGAACCACTCTTCCTTCCGCGGGCCATGACAAGATTTTCCTTCACGACCTTCCACTGCCCATCTCTGAAATTCACCTCGTGTCCTTGTTCGTCCAACTGCCTGACAGAAATTAAACTTTTCTTCAAGGCTGAAACCACTCTAACATCCTTCAAAGTCCAGAGACCGACTAAGGTCTTCAACACCATGTCACCCATGCCCGTCACCTCAAGAGCTCTGTCGTCTGCTAGTCGTACCTTTCCAAAGTCCCCAACAACTAGATTCTGCAATGCTTCACCGCTGTGGGTGGCATGAAATGAAGCACCAGAATCCATGACCCAAGAATCCACACTGCTCTCTACATAACAAGTTAGAAGGACCTCTTCATCACTCGCGGAGCCTTCAGCAATGTTCACTTTCTTGTCATTCAGACATTGATTCCTAAAATGCCCCACCTCCTTGCACTTCCAGCACGTTACACCTGAGCTGTCACGAGTCTTCGACTGACTCCTTTGTCTGTTCCTGCTCCCACTACCTCTGCTAATCCTTCTGCCTCTGCCAACATAAAGCAACTCACCAGATGACTCTCCTGAACTCTTTCTTCTGACATCCTCGCCAAGAACGAGATCTCGAATCTGATCAAAGGTGAATCCATCAGGTCCCACTGAACCGGTAACCGCTGTATCCGTTCCGGACCAACTATCAGGTAAAGACGATAGCAGTAGTAAAGCTTGAACTTCATCATCGAACTTAATGCCCACTGACAAAAGTCTGGCTAAGATCGAATTCAACTTGTTGATATGCTCGGTAACTGAAGTGCCTTCTTTCATTCTTGTGTTCACCAGCTCTCTAATCAAAAAAACTTTGTTCGCTGCAGATGGCTTCTCGTACATGTTAGACAATGCTTCCATAATTCCTTTCGCTGTCTTCTCCTTTAGAATGTTGAACGCAACATTCTTGGTCAACGAGAGACGGATCACGGACATAGCTTTCCGATCCAAACCTGCCCAATCTGCATCTGACAACTTTTCTGGCTTGTCACCCAAAACCACGTCCAAATCTTTCTGAACCAGCAAATCTTCAATTTGCATCTTCCACCAACTGAAATCTGTACCATCGAACTTCTCAATTCGGAACTTTCCATCTTCTGTCATCTCAAACGACTAGATGAAATAACCGGTACAACTAATTTCAGATCTTGGTATATTTTTGTCAGAAAATTAGGCCCACCACACCAACTCAAAAATCAGCCCAAACCAAAACAAAAAAAAAACACACGGCCCAAAATTTTCTCTTTCTTCTGTCCAGCAAAGAAACCCCTTTTTCCTTCGGACCTGGCGAGAAACAGAAACTGCCCCTTTTTCTTGCCTTGTTTCGCAGGGCTTCAGAAGATTAACGGGCGGTGGCGGCGGCAAATCTGGACGGCGGCTGCTCTCTACGGGCTGCTGTCCTGTGTTCTCCGGCGAAGCTGTGCGCGGCTTATACGAATGCGGCGGCGGATCCTCAACCCAGTGGCGGCGACACGATCTGAACGGCAATCTCCTCGAACCAGCGGCATCAACTGAGGACGACGGTGGCTCCTTCAACTTGGCGGTGGCGCTCCCTTGCTGCTCGACGCGGCTGCTGTGCCCTTTGCGGCCACGCTGATTCGCTGGCTGCGAATCTTCTTCCTCACACGCTCTTCGGCGGCAGGGCGAGATCAAATTGACAATTTTGAGATCTCCTCTGCGCGCGATCGGACTCGTTCAGATCTCCAGCGGAAAACTCCAGGCGGCTGCGCACGCACACAGATCCCAAAAAAACCTATGTGACAACTCGCAATTTGTGTTCGTGTTGAACAAACATGTCTCTGATACCACTTGTTGGGAATAAAACACAGAACACACAACACACACAAATATCTGCGAGAAACGAGAGAAACGAAACACAAACGACACACAAGAATTTAACGTGGTTCGGTTTCCCTAATCCACGGCTGCAACAGGAGGATTTTCTTATTTCACTTGTGGTGCCGATTACAAGTACAAGTATGCAATATATATAGGAAGAGCGCAACTAGGGTTACAACAAATGGGCCGGACCTACAAATCAAGCCCAAGCCTCCACAAACCCAACAATTGCATGGCTGTGGAAGAGGGTACATTGGGACCCTTTTAAATCAAGTGGGAGGAGCAACATTGGGACTCCTTTTAGTGGGAGTAAAAGGATGAGCATTGTGACTCCTTTGAGTGAAAGTGGAAGGAGGAGCATTATGACCTCTTTTGAGTGGCAATGGGAAGAACATTTAATACTCAATGAAATGCTTCTTTAAACACTCTCATATCATGATAAATCCATTGGATGGTACCCTTCATACCTTGTTTGATTGAGACTTTTATTTTGAGATACTTCCTAAATATACGATCTATTTTTTCATAAATAGCATATTGTCCATAATATTCTAAAAAATGGAACAATTATTCTTGTCTTCATAACTGGTTCCACAATAAAATGGAAAAAGAATATGCAATTTGTGTCATTACAACTTTAAAATGAGACAAATTAAAAATTGATACTTGTAAGTGAACAAAGAGCAAAACATGAACATAACAAACTATGAACTTTTTTACACTTAGTAAGAAATATACACTAAGAAAAATCAACAATGAGGTTCGTGTTCAAATGTGTGATAAGGTTCGATCCTTTCTAACGAATCATTCATGTGAAATACTTGTTCTACCAAATGTTCACGTTGAAAAACTTATTGCCAACAAATCAGTGGCGGAGCTAGGAAAGACTTCATGTGGGAGGGGGGCGAAAATTTATTTAATAAATAAACAAAATTCATAATAGTAACTACCTTGATTGGAAAAGTGCAACTAAACATAACCTCTATTTGTGCAAAGGAGTAAGAGTTGATTGGGGTCGTAGAAATTTTTTTGAGATACCAACTTTTGAATGCGCTGCATAATAATTTCATCATTAATGCTCCTAAAAATTTCTTTCTCAAAGGAGCACAACAGACAATCTGATAAAAACTCATCTCCCAAACAGTTGCGTAAATCAATCTTGACAATATTCATTGTCTTTTATCACTTATAAATTCTAAATTCTTCTTTTGTCTAATAACAAATTTATTCATGTCACGTCTCAAAATTTACTAACTCAATATTAAAGTAACAAAATAAAATATCAATAACCTTAAAACAATAATTTCATATATCTTAATCTCTAGAACTTGAAATTAACATTTATCAAATACGGAGTATTTAAATATCAACAAACACACGGGAACCACGGAACAAATTAAATATTCAAAATTCAAAACATAATTTAGCAATATTCAAAAATTTCAAATATTAAGAAACAAATCTCGAAATTAGATAATTGAGTAAAATTTACATATACCTTCTGGTTTCCAATTTCCGGTTTCGTTGTTTCGATCGTGGAGACGGTGGAGTGCAGCCGAATAAGCCGATGAAGTGCTGAACGGCTGAAATTAATTAAAGTACTCCTTATTTCTTCATGAGTCATGACCTATTGACCTCCGTATTTTGTTTTTTGGCTGGTACTCCACTACTCCGTATTTCTTCATAAATCATGACCTCCGTAATTTTTTTTTGGG